GAGAGAGAGAGAGGGAGTGAAGGGCGTTGCCGTGTATCCGCACTTCGTGAATGGATACGACCGAGAAGTTAGTGGATCCCCATTTACGACGCAAACCTCATGAAACCTAATTATAGAAGATGAAGCTCTCGTCGTTCCTCTATCCCTGAAACCGAACGATCAAAGGGATTCGTCTTGCTTTCGGCAAAATTGAATAAGGAAATTAAATTAATAACATTAAGTTAGTCTCTCTCTCACATTTCAATCTTAAACAACTAACAATTAGCACTACGATCACGAAACATTCCTGAATCGCTTTTCGTTAACTTTATATGCAAACGAGTGGAAGTAAAATTCGGTTCGTTGGAATGTAACTACGTCCAAAGGGCAGAACGAAAGTCACAAAAAGAAATGATAAAATAAGAAACGGATCAAATGGAAGAAGAAAAAGGGAAGAGAAGGGAAGTGAAGGAAGAATCGAGTGAATAGGGAAGAGAGAAATTTTGAACGTTGGATGTGTATAGTAGGTTTTTCGGAGAATGACTTACTTAGTCGCAAGAAAAGATAAACGAAAGTTGAGAGCTAACTACACAAAGCTCGCTACTGCTACTTTCCTTCTACTTTGTCGTAACGACAAAGAAAAACTTAGACAGGGATAGGGAAAACTGAGAGAAAAAGAGAGAGAGAGAGACTTGGAAGGGAGGAGATCTTAGGAGTCTGACTAACTGGATAGAAAAGGGCCAGCTGGAACGAAAGAAAACTTCAAACTTTTGCCTCTCATGATGAAGAAGAAGAAGAAGAAGAAGGTAGAAAGTGCGAAGGAACCGTTAAGTTCCCTTCTCTGACGAAAACTCGGGATTCTTCAACGTGGAAAAATGGTTAGCCGTTCCTAAATGCTGGATACTCTTCTTTTGTACGACAACATTGTTCCAGTTAGAAGAAGGCGAGCAACGAAAATCGATGCTACTATGGCGTGTAGATAAAAGTCTAGCGGGAAAGAGAATCAAAAAGAACGATATCACCATCGTCGATATTGGCTTATAGTTCCTAATAACGAAAAAGAAGGAAGGGAAAAAGGAAAGAAGAAAAAAAAATGGAAAACAACAACGACTCCGGATGCTCTTTCGGTCACAAAAAAATATAATAAATAAGAGTAAGTACACGGCCGCGTTAAATTTTGCCATCTTTCCTAACGAGGTATAATGCTTAGCGGTTCCTTACTTCCTAGTTTCATCCCTTTTGCTCCCAGGTTCGGAGTAAATCGAAGATAAACCCCAGGATTTAACCAAGGCTTAACCTATGCTAAGCGTGCTAACTCTCCTTACCTAGCTGGACCACATGAAACTACGCTTGCATAGATTACAATGTACTTTAATTGAGTTAGCATGTTAATGGCTGAAAACATCTATCCGGTTACTTTCATCATCGTCAAATATATATATATAGTATACATAGCTTCTTTTATCTCTCATCTTATTTATATTAGTATTTTTTCTCCCTTAAATTATCGCGATAAATAATTCCACACCCCTTAAACATAGCAACATCATTTTCATTATCGATTTTGGTCAGACCGTACCTTCCGTACTCCTAGTCCAGACAAATAATGACTCGTACTATGGGGCTTTATAGTCAGATCAAATAATTAATATAAGTTAATCGAGGAGCGACCGTTAACAAATCGTTTCTTATACATCAGTCTACACCCCTACTATTATTTCACTGCACGAATCAAGCTTCCGTTTCTTCTCCCCTTCTCTCGCGATCATTTAATCACGCGCAAGTAATTAAGTACTTTCCCATTAAGAAATTCTCTAAGCAGAAATTCGAGGAGGAATATCTAACATATATACACAGTACGAATTAAAAAATAAAATTATATAACAATCGAATGAATTGTCTCTATTTTTTTTCCTCACAATTTCTCAACAAAATGAAGAAATAAAAAAGACGAAGACAAAGAAGAAAAACGAACGAGATAAAATAAGAAAAAAAGGAAAAATAATCGAAAGGAAGTAGTGGGAAGAGAAAAAAAATTCGGAGAACTCTCTGCAGTTTCTCTCAACATTCAAATAGCCTCGTTTCAAATCGATTTCGAATTATCTTCGGAGACCGGATTCCAATGGGACAGAAGAAAAGAGGGTATGCTGGTGTAATGGAGGATACGACTGTAAGGTAAAGAGATATAAGGAAGAAAAAAAAAAGAGATGGGGGAAGAGGACTCGATGAAAAACAAAACAACAAAAGCTAACCTCTTACCGGAGCGTACTGAGAAAACGACTTACAACGAAAGACAAAGAAGGAACTTCCGAATAACGATCTACATCCTATCCCATACGTATATCTAACTAACAATGTTCAATATGTCTGTACTTATAACTCGAGGATATTTATTGTGTTTATTGTGCAGCGTTAGTTAACGAAACAACCTTGACTATATTTTTAGCAGTATTATCTATTATTTTTCGTAATTCTAGCATCGCGAGAATGATTTACGATAATTGCACGAAATAAGGATCACCTCACCGATGACCATGGACTGATTTTTATCTGTAGATTTAAAGAGATATTCAGAATGTTGACCTTGCGAACATTATCGAATCGGGTTAGATGACATAATCTATTCTGAATGATTATTTGATTGATACCTTTCATTATTCCGTTTAAAAATATGTTCACATTTTTGATGGCAAATTAACAAGTACGAGAAGATAGACATTGACATAATCGCAATAAGCCATAATGAAATCTTCATTTGCCATTTCTCCGTTTAGCTTAATTAAACACCATGCAGTGTTTAATAACATATATGAGGCAGTACGAATCGACTTCACATATGTATTTGACCGATACGATCTAGTTATTCAAACACAGGTTACTCTTCATGTATTTTCGACGAAGTCAATATTGACACTAAGTTTGAAATATCTATTCTGTTAATGTTTGAAAGAAGCAATGCAAAACACGATATAACAAAACTATCCTATCTAACAGGAAAAAACTGAGAATATATGAACAAACGATGTATATCGTCTATATGTTATTTCAATGTGTAATATTTCCATCAAATTCCCTACATTCATTCGATTTGATGTTTAAAGCGAATAGTGTATAGATAACGGTTAATGAAATCCGTGTTTCTACCCATGACCTCAATTCTTTTTGTCTAGATCTAACAAAGCAAATCAACTATTTTGAATATTGGTTATTCACGGTCCTTCAAAATTGAGAGCTCGTTATTTACGCCGTTAATTTATCCTTCAATCAATTTTAAAGACGGAATATCTATAATTGCGTAACTAATACGCAATTGCGTAAAAAATACTTTAATTAATGTAAATAAAAAATATCGAAAGAAATGATTTGCCAGCATTGTTTACCATATTTCATCTAATACGCTTCATTCACTCTCGAATTTAAATTAATAAAAACAATAGTTATTTATTTTGGAATATTCTGAAAAAAAATAGTATAAAGATAATACAATAGACGATTTATTAAAATATATCGTAAGTATTTAAATACTATGATACATTTTTGAAACAACGTGAATATTGTTTGTCTGAAATATTCTTACTACAATTGTGGTTGTGAGTATTAACAGTCGAGAAAGAGTACTTTAGTACTTCTTTGTTCTCTTGTCGTATACTTACTCAGAAGTTGGAAAATATTTAATTAGTTGGGAATAAGTACAACGACGATTAAATATCATTTTTTTTTGTATAGAAATAAAGAATCACCACTGTGAAACATATTTAAAAGAAAACAATCTTCTTATACTATTATACAATTTTTCATATTTCCGAATGTTTCCATGTTATCGATATTAGACCATTGGTAAAATTACATGAGAAATAAATGACGACAATTGAAAGGTATTTTCTAGATTATAATTATTGCTGCCCTCGAATAGAGTCGTTTTCAAATAATAGTCATCTGGCAATATCCATTGAAGTACCTTTGCGCATAAGCTCGCAGTAAAGACAAGAACACTGGTATCTTTTATCATGAAAGTTATCGAGCCACATATTTCGGTGGAAATGTCCACTTCCCGGGTAATGTGCTCGCAATAAAAGGGGAAGCAATATTCTTTCTACGTCGACCATCTGACAGTAGGGAAGGATATATAATACATTATTATACGTTACGCATAGATATAACTCGAATAATAAATTGCAACGCTTAATATCTTCTTTACGAACTATCGCTCGCAGGTTATAACGGGCTTTCGTCGATTATAACAGATGCCTTCGAAGGAACATTTTTAATACAGACAAGCATGACTTTACGACGTTTATATGACGTTTCATGAAAAATGAACTTTCTTTTTTAAATAAAAAAAAATTTTAAGCCATTTTTGTTAAGCTATTCATTGATTTTGAGGAATTCAATTTGTTTTATCTTCGATTTATTCGTCATTACAATAAGTCTCGTTTTTTTTCTTTAATCCAGTTTCCTTTTCTCAAATAAGAAATCCTTGTAAGAAATTTATAAATGTTTTCATACGTTGGTACGTAGGAACGTAGAAGAACAAGCGCATTATTATGCAACAAGAAAATTTCGTACAACGTCGTATCCTCGAGATGACGCATTTAGTAACACGCTTTTCTCTTTATCTTGCATACCGAGATACCGACTCGGCAGTAAACGAAAGAGCAATAAATTGTCTTAGAGAAAAAAAAATTCTACTTGCAACAAGGATAACTCTGGTATCTTATAGGTACAAGCGGTTATCTCTAATTTATCACAAAATTAGAAAGTAACGAGCGATGAAATCGCGATTTCAAGCTCTGCAACCTTAAAGCAAAGAATGTACAAAATGGAAAAGCACAGAGAGAGAAACAGCAATGGAAGTAGAAATAAAGAGAAAGAGAAAGAAAGCTTTTATTTCTTTCTCTTTTGTCAGAGATGGGTGAACGTTATCGTCCTCGAAAACGATGTCAGAACATAATGCTCTTCCTGTACGACCAATTGTTATAATAATATAATACATCCAAGTTATGTTGTCTTGCTTGTTATAGAACCAGATCCTGGCGCACAATACATCAGCAAGAATCATTTGGTCGAATCAAAGCCTCGTCCTGCAGAGCGTCACAAGGAGCAGCGCAGGCCATTATATTTGCGCAGCAACAAATGCCCTTAATGAAACAAGAAGCGAGCCGTTACATTTTCGCGTTAAATGTGAGTTATTTATTTTAATTTAAATCGAAAATCTCAAACTCTTTTATCAGGAGTAAATCACTCGAGGAACATAAATCCAAAGCTTGTTGAACACGAATCACAGTTTTATATACGATTCCACTATTTACATTTCATTGATATTACCACTGAAGAGATCGTACTTTTCGATACATGTATTTCAACTCATATACGTAGAGACGAGGGATCGCGAAACCTTAAGGATTTCAACGGACTTGAATATTTCACGAGTGCTTAGCATCGAATACATTTTTAATACCCAATTCCCAGGTTATGGCGTAACGTCGACGGGGTCAACTACCGACCTCTAATAACTTGGAAGAAAAATACAGATTCTTTTTACCAAGAAAGAACTTTTTTTTTTTATTATCGAGTTCATTACTAACAAAGTAACTAAGATATATAGTACTAGTAGAAGAATATTTTTCAACTTTTTTATCAAGAACTTCATTACATTCCAAATATTTCTCCTTTATACTTTTTGATCCAAATCTCGATCATTAATATCTACTTAACAATGAATTTCTAATGAGACCGTAAAAATCGATAAAGCGAGCACCGATAAACAACAATCTTACGAGGATCTCTAAATTCAAAGATTGCATCGTTTCTAAATTTTACTTTTCTACTGTAATAACGACACCCAGCATTTACGCCGCCAGCGGCCACATTATAAATGAGATCTTGCACCCTTGGGATTAATATGATGGATAAATTATGGTCGCATACCGAAGAAATCTGTCATCGAGCGTTAATAAATTTTGTCGCTAGTTATAAATTCTCCTTGCTCCATCCGCAATGCTTCCGATGATTTATTAGGACGAGTACTCTGTAGGTATACCTGAAAATATATGTACAGTAAAGATCACCAAACATTTTCTAGATAAAAGAAGAACTTCGTCGTAAAATATACATGTAAAATCTTACGTGCGAAATGAATTGTTTGAGTTGGTTACGTTGTTTATGCTGTCATTAATAATTTGAGAAAACGAATTTAATGATACGAGTGAAAGTGAAACGATATCTCTGTACGCTTTCGTTATTTTAATTGTTTGCTAAATTGGTATTCATTAATTAGTTGCTGCTTGTAAATATGCAATTAACGTCCGTGTCGATATATCGTATCGATTAAATGTTAACCAATCTATTTATGACGTTAATTATTACACAATTTTATATTCCTGATTTCAAATTAATGATACCTGGAAATTGTGTGCTAAAATTAACACAATTCGAGTGACATTAATGGGCGTCAGTCGGTGCATTTAATACGATTTATAATAAAAAAGAAGAGTTATTAAAAGGTATAGCTTAAATACTTAGATGAATATTGGGTGAGTATATGAGACCAGTACTTAAATACGTATTCGTGGAAGGATTAGATAATAGACCCTAGATAGCTTAATGGAAAATAAAAGATCAATGGTTCGAGTCCCCGGTCCAGTTAGTCCAGCGGCTGAATTTTTCTACAAATCTTACAATATTATGACATAAATTTAAATGCATACATTAAATACAAATTTATAATTCGTCTATTTTTATTATTTTCCCCTTCCGTTGACAAGCTACAAATATTAACTTATTTTATTAGATTAATCACGAAAATACTTGTATTACTTCTTATGTTTGGTAACAGAGACTTTAGAACTAGGAAGAAAAACACGTCGCAAATTCAATCGAATTGTTTCGTAGATCTCTTTGCATTTACAAGAGAAAACATTCTCGTATTTTAGAAATTTTCTTCGATGTAACAAGTACTAAGAATGACGCGCACGAGTTCCACGTCGTCGAGTGTTGGATATTTACGCGCTTTGTCGAGATTCGATTGCTCTTTCGGCGTCAGGAGAGAATGGTGTCTGTAAAAAAAATTGCTCACGAAGATTGGCCTAGGTCGTAACCGACGTTATCCCCATCTCAGTGCGAACAGACAAGGTTCTTTGCTTTCGAGGCACGATCACGTCTTTCTCTTCTTCCCCCTCTTACTTTCCTTCTACGTCTAGGGTTCTTGTTTTTTCTCTTTATTTGTTTTTGTTCTTTTGTAAAATAGTGAGCGAAAGGGAGAAAGAATAATAAAGAAAGAACAAGAAGGAAACAGACAGACAGAGAAATAGATAGATAGATAAATAGATAGATGGATAGAGATAGAGAAAGATAAAAAAAAAAAAGAGAGAGAGAAAGGGAGAATTGGAAAAGAAGATAAAGGCAGTTGAGATAAAGGCAAACGAATCGTTACAAATATATATCACTAGAAAAGATGCGACGTTCGAGAGAAAAGAGAAAAAGAAAAAAGAAAGATAGAAAGGCCTTTTTGCATAACTCGTGTCGAAGAAACGATTCGGCTAGTTGTACGCTCGTAAAAGTCGTCTTGTGACAAAATGCCAAAGCGTGCCTCGAAAGCGACACGCGTTATCGTTATCAACTGCTTGTCTTCTTACCTTCTTTCTTCGAAGGTCAATCCTTGAGAAAGTTTTTTGCTCGAAATTACAATAATACAGAAAAACGAACAATCGATTACAACGATGACGAGAATAACGACACGATTTGAATATCGTTTTTCAAGAAAATTCTAATAATGGTTTGCCAGACAAAATTGTGCTATTCACTTAACAATGCTTTTCATAGTAAGCTGTAGGGTTGATATCATACAGTTTAACTGTAACATTCTGCCTTCTAATCGTGTATACTGCAATAGAGAGAAACCAATTCGTTTTAACGGCTTACGAGACGCACGAAATTAATGTCGGTTTACAAAAGTAAAAAAGAGAGAGAGAGAGAATAAAGGTGGGTTAAAATACGCGAGAGAAACTAACTCGGTAGGTACGCAATGGAGGATATAATATAATAAGAATGAAAATGTCTGCTCCGCAAGTTATTTACGATTAACAGAGAAAATTCATCAGTCGTGAGCGAATTCTCTCTGCATTTCATTTACTTTCCATGATCTTACCTCTGAAACAAGACTAATTCTTGTCAAGAGTTTAAACGTAAAATTTTGGAAGTATGGTAGAGTAGGTAATATCAAGAGGACAAGTTGATTAAGTAAGTTTGAGGGATGTCGATGTGCAGAGAGCAAGGAGGATTCTCCGAGGCTCTCCCTCCTTTTCGACGCTCGTCAGAACGTTCACGGAGATTATGGCCCATAATTAATGTCCTCATCGTTTAATGAAGACCAGACTCTTTCTCGTTTCGCCAAAGAACCGACCCGCAGTAAAAATTTATCTTTCCGCCCGACAATGGTAATTTCCTGCCGAGTCTAACAAAGCCGAATGTTGGCGAAGGGAAAGTCCTCCGCTCTACTAGCACGGATGATACTCGTCGATAAAGTTTATCGAGAAACTCGATTAACGCGAGATTCGTTCGACTCGATTAACTTTTCAAAATGGATGTAGGTATACATACTTATTTTATAACATTAATTTAACGTTTAAATATAATGTTTAATTGCGTAGCGTCATTTCGCTTAGCATCGCATTGAGAATCGATTGTAAATTGCAAACCTATGCCGATTAAAGGAGCGATTCCCTTCCAACCTACCTACCATCTGTGTTTCTCTCCAGGGAAGTTCATTACGTGATTGGAATCAAAGCGAATGGATCTTAATTGATTGAAACCCAACGTTCCGACGATCCGTCGTTAACCTGTTACTTCCTGACAATGATCATGGTATTGCGAGTTCCGCCACGTTACTGTTCTCTCCATACGAACGGTTAACCAACGTATGTTAACCAAGCTATTGACTTTGATCGTTGTCCCTCCTTCGGATCTAAGGCTTCAATTGATTCATCTTGGAAACCAATTCCCTCAAAATTCATAGAACTTAAGATGAAAATCCGGATACGAGTGAGAATTAATTTGTAAATATTGTTTTCTTTTGATTTTCAGTCGCACCAGTTTGTAAGGACGACAGGATCATTGTGGTTGGAGCATCGAGAGGCGAATCTTTGGACATTGCTTGCAAGGTCGAAGCCGATCCACCAGCTCATAATTTTCGCTGGAAATTCAACAATAGCGGTGAAACCTTGGAGGTCTCATCTACAAAGTTCTCGATGGAGAAGTCGAGTGGCGTTAGCGTGTTAAATTACACGCCAACTACCGAGCTGGATTACGGAACGCTCTCCTGCTGGGCGGACAATCTCGTCGGTACCCAAGCGAGACCGTGTCTCTTCCAGTTGGTAGCTGCTGGTAAGTATTTAACAGACAAGCATCGAACACATGGACCCTGCAAATCGTAAATTCCTTACTACCAAAGCGAGGGGAAACGTCCACGGCAGAACTCCATTTTACATTGTCCTTCCTCCTTTCCTCCTACTCCATTTTGCTAATTCCTCTCGTTCGATCCGTGTCGTCAAAGGATTTATAGTTCCAAAGCACGTACACCCTTTAATCGTAAACGTGTTTCACCGAATTTCCGAATCCCTTCTTTTCAGGTGAAAAATTCTAGGTAATATTCGTCTCTTACGTTTTTTATATTCTCATCTAAGAAAATAAGATACGATATAAATAAGTAAACTGAATTTGAACAAAAATATTTAAGAAATTTAAACTTCTTCGTTTTTACATAAAATCTATTTGTTTATTTTTCAACGCGAGTGATTTATTAAAATATAAAGAGAAATAATAAATAGCATTTACGTTGAGATATACATACACATCCTTAAAAGTCCTCAAGAAATGTATTTTACGAAAGTGATTGGCAGACTAAATAAGTAAAAAATGTCTTCAAATGAAATCAATATTTAATGAATTAATACATACGTAAAAGTGTTCAATTAAAGTTATCGGCATTATCCCAATATATGAGTTATCCCAAAACAATTATTTAATTCTGCATAAAATCTATATCTGGATAGTAAAGGTATAAAATATAAATTATATAAATTAAAACGAACTTTTGATCATTTGTTTGAAATTAATTTGGCCAGTTGAAAATGTTCGTTGGTTTGTTCTTCGAACATAACCTATTAATAACATACCGAAAGTGTTGTAAACACTGTTACCACGAGACTGCAGGGTTTTGATTAAATATATTAAATATAGGAAATCTGTATTAGATCGTGGTTTAGACCGATTCTCGATCTTACGTAGGTATATCTGTACATAGGTAAGTACCTATACCTATGTAGCTCCAAGGAAATCATCCTAAAAGCATTTTACAAAGTAGAAAAGTTTCACGTACTTGATAAGAGGACTCAACGTTTCTGTACTCCATCGGTGCTGAATCAATTCCATACAGAAAATTGAATTTCGTTTCAAGTTATTTGATTGCTTTACGTGAGCGTACCCAGAGTCATTACAAAGTGGAATTACTTCGAAACAGTACTCGACATTTTATTTTCCCATGAGCAAATATATAACCGTTCTTTAGAAAATCTTATAATACTTCTACCGCGAATAAAGAAGATTTTTTAAGTATATATAACATATTCAAATATAGAGATTATTTGACATTTAATTTCATCAAAAGTTGCAGGAAATAAAGAATGTTCGAAATTCGTTTAATTTGTATAAATTGATAAATTAATAATATAAAGATATTTACCATATTTCCAGTAATAGGAATAAATATATATTTAAAACAATAAAAGAGGACATATATATCCTGACACTTATTAAACTTTCTCATTTTACCATCCATACCGAAAATATTTGAAGGTATGTATGGCGATGTAAATAGTTATCCAACATTATAGAGTTACGGATGCGAAAGTTTAACGCTTGTAAATTATTCGGAGATCGTCCCAGTTAATTCCTCTTTCACTACGAGTAATTCCTCCTATTTGAGAATATCAAGAGAAATCGCATCCACCACTAGCGTTTTATTTCTTCATTTTTCCATTTTACGTGTTAATTGAAACGATTCTAGCAAAAGTACGATAATCATGAGTATTTTCAAACAACTGCACAAATAATCTCGTTCCTCCTAACGTGATGCTGTAACATTGTTATTCATTAAAAAAGAAAAGGAAAAAGAAATAAAAAAATAAATGGAAAAAAAAAAAAAACAATCAAACGATACAATGAAATATATTGAAACTTTTCGCGTTCTTAATGTAAAGGATTTATTCCATGCATAGAGTATAGTAGGGATCATTGCAAGTGCAACAGAATCAACCTATCATCACACGTCATAGTGACGTTAATCCTCACCACCGGACTTTCCACTAGAATTTCGTCGTTTTTCCAAGCGCGATCAACACTGACGTTGACGCGACGATCACTCGACGAACTATTGACATTGACGAATATGCTTCCATGTGGGTGAAATTGTGGGCTCGAAAATAAAACAGGCAACCACTTTTTTCTCACCTTTTTACCTCTCTCCTCTTATTCTGTTGTCCCATGTATCGGAAAATTCATCGTTCCCATTTCATTCGTCCTAGTTTCCAGATATCTTCGAGAACCTTTTTTCCTTTGCATTTGCTATTATACTTACTTTTGAAACGAAATTATTTTCAGCCTACCATTATTGGTATCGGTTAGCAATTTCTTCTTTTTATTCGAATATCCCTAGTGTCGTCCTTTCTCGAGGATTTCTTTTCTCACGAGAGAAAGAAAGAAAGAAAAAAAGAAACGAGAAGGGTGAAAAAAGGTAAGGTAATAAAATGCGAAGAGACGGCAACCCGGCAAGAAAACGTGCTGACCTGTAAATTACTCCAAAGAATTCCCTATTATTTATTACATGCTACATCGAAATAAATTTTGCGCAAACCACGTTCTCGAAAAGGAAACGTTATCGAGAATATCGTATGCGCAACAAAAAAGAAAAAAAGAGAAAAATAGTAAAAAAAAAAAATGATATTTGTAACACCATACAATGTTATATAAATACACGCTCAAAGCGGATATTAAAACGGAAATAATAAACTCTGCGATTCGCAATATTTCTACTTGGTGAATCGAACTAGGTGTATCCTACCTTCAATTCGCTTTTTCAAACATGTACTCGATTTGATATTAAAGCTTTTCCTTTAGATATGCACGTATATGTATGCATATATATGTATATAAATATATATAGTAAAGAAATATTTGTGTATGCGATATTTTGATAGTACATACAAATTTTATGCTTAACGCCTTTATCGTTATTATACGTGAAAATTGTTTGGTGGCGATGGAAATAGATGTGACAGTACCGAACGGGTTAAATTTCAGCGTCAACGTCCGCTTAAAATCAAAATAAATGAAAACTGTCTAAAGAGTAAATATAAAAACAGGAATACCCCATATCTATAAAATATAACCAGGACATTATTATTACGTAATATAAAAAACAAGAATTATTTTACAAGTAGTTAAATCTGTAAGAATTTCTTTCCTTTGAAAAAAGAAAATAAAAATAAAAATAAAAATACATATATATATAAATATATATAATGTGCTGAGGATTGCATCAATTATCGTCAAAATCAGGACACATTTATCGTAATAAATTTCATTCGGTATGATAAATGCGCTTTGATGAAAATCATAACTCAAGATTACAAACGTTTCCTATACGAAGAGGGATAAAGTAATATCGTATTTCGTGAAATTAAAAATGTTCAGTAAATGGAGCTAAAAATATGTAATGAATATGAGTAATAAAAAATTTATAAAAGTACGTTTTATTTTTTCTTCTTTATCGACAGACATAATAAAAGATAGATCTTTAAACATTACGAGGTATAAAAAAATTATAAATTCTTTTCAACGTACATTATTATTTAATATTTTGTATTACTTTTGGATTACAAATCTTTTTCCACCTAATATTAGTGAACTTATTAATATTCCTATATTAATAAACTTATCAGAATTTTCTACAGTCTAAACCAATTTACGCATATGCGGAATTTAAACCGTATGAATATTCTTTTCTAGGAAAACCATTTTCTGTTCGAAATTGCACATTGGCCAATCAGACGTATACGAGCGTGGAAGTGAATTGCGTGGCCGGATACGATGGTGGACTGACGCAGAAATTTGTGTTAGAGGTCTATCATGGCGATATTGACTTCCTGTCGACCATCCAGCCTCTCTATAACGTTACCAATATCAAGGAGCCATCCTTCGCGCTTTCGGGTCTGAAAGCGTCGGTTGAGGCTGGCGTTCACGTAGCGATTTATGCTGTAAATGCCAAAGGGCGAAGCCAACCTGCAATTCTCAGTGAAGTTACGTATAGAGATGCTGAAAAACGGACTGGTAAGTGAACTTTTTATATTCTGTTATCTCCTTTTTTATATGTTTGTTTTTGGTCTAATTTGTATTATATCATATCTAGTACTTATAGGTATTTTGGATAATGTTTTTTTCCCCTAAGAAATCCGTGAATTATCTTCACTATATGACGCATACTACATATCACGTATTCCATTCTTTTGGTAACCTATGTCAAATGACAAGGGACAAAAGTAAAACCGAGCTTGGTATTACTTCGTACGCTTCCAAGACAATTTATCACGTCGAAAACAGATCGCAAATACGTTTAACGTTGCCCTATGAAAGTGAACAATGCGAGGATGACGTAGCTTAGAAGAGTCTGTGAAATGGTGCTTTATCTAAGATCGTATGAAAAACAAGCGGCTGGATATAATGTACGTAAGCCGCCGTACGACAGAATGAATAATTTCCTATCACGTGCCACGTTCAACCAGCTGAGTTAGCACGACTGCAGGCAAGCAAGCAGGCAGACCGGTCGACCAACCAACCGGAACGAGAGAAACGTAGCCCGCAGTTGTCCGTAAGTTGCCCACAGCAAACCCTAAAAGGTATACCCTTAAATACGGGAAAAGTATCGACTGTGGTAACATTGCCCTCTTCGATCGCGTTCCTGACTGCTCAAGATCTTAGCAAGATTAGTAAGAAACAGTCGACGACTTTCCTCGATCGACAACGTATTACCGTATTCCAAGGATTCCCTCGGGATCACACACGGTTGGTGTCTCTTTTGGGAAAGGAATGGGCTTGCTCGTGTGGGTGGTGTCAACGGTTGGGAGTAAGTAAGACGGATAACGCACCCTCACGAGACAACATTACCAAACTATCAACGCACTACATCCGTTTCCTTCTCTCTCTCTCTTTCTATCTATTTCCCATATAAATATATATTGCACTATTTATACAGATAACTATGATATTACTATAATATATTTATAAGATAATTATGATCCAATCGACATTTTCGAACCATTTTTAGAATAAGTCAAAAATCAATCACTTTTACTACTTCAGGTAGATCGAAAAAAAATGACGTTGATAATAGAAGCGTCAATAAAGAAGAACTGCAAATTTTAGTAGATTTCGTTTCGATTTATATCATTGTGTCATTTAGGTGAAGTTATTATTAACCGTTTTTCTTGTTCCAATACGTACCATGAATATTTTCTAACGCTAATGCAGCGAACCGGCGTCGAATTAAGGAAAGCAATTACAGATAATGGTTCTAGCAGTGCCCAACTCCGTAACCGAGGGAAAGCTAGAAAAGAAAAGAAAAGAAGAAAGAAAGAATGAAAGAACAAGTTGGAGGAAAAATAGAAGGGTGTAAAGAGGAGATAGAAAAGAAAGAAAGAGAAAGAGAAAGAGAAAAAGAGAAAGAGAAAAAGGGAGCCATCTAGAAGAGATACGAATGTACCGGATGGTCATTAAGCGGCTCTAGCTACTCTCTTTCTTCCTCTTTCATTCTCTTTCTCTTTCTAACACTAGCACTATCATGACCCCACTCTGGTGCCCTATTCCCCTCTTTCTTTCGTCTTTTTAGACATTAAGCCGTTTCGCGTGCGGTAATTTTCCCGGGGTCATTTTTGCCGCTCTTCTTGCTTCGCCGTTAACTTCACTTAACTCTGTTTACCCTCGTCGTCATTTTTCTTTCCCATCCCTTCCCTTTCGACTTTCTCCTTTCTTCCCTCCAGAGCCAACCGTCCAGCCTCTCGTCAGGACGTTCACGTTGAAAGCTGCTGCCGAGCGTTGCGTCGAAAGCAGAGACTCGCCTTACAACTACGACGCCTTCGTCCTCCTCTCGACAAAACAGAGAGGACTTTTTTTATCGCACACCTTCGCCAACTTATTTCGTCGTTCTACACGAGGGACGTTCCTTTTTTGACGGTCCACGCCAGAGAGATATAATTAGCGGAACTTCTCTTACTTTTTCTTTTTTTCATCATCATCATCTTCTTCTTCTTCTTCTTCTTCTGCTTCTTTCCTTCCACACCCCCATTTCCTCGTTCTTTTTCTTTTTCTTTGATCGCAAAAAAATGTCGCACCGTGTAACATTTCTTCCTTTTTCTCCGACTACATCAGTGCAACCGGACGAAGAATTAAATGAGAAAGCAATTAGCCCTTTTGAAAGGATGAATAATGAAAGTTTAAAAAGATCATAGACACTTGAAAGACAAATTTACATATATTTAGAATATATTTAACATTATAGGAAATGAGATAACAAGACAATAAAAGAAACTATTTTATTCGCCGATATGTAATTGAACCACAAATCTTCGTCCAGTTCTGTTTTTTTGATTGAAATTTTGTAATATGGTTCAACAACGAACATCTCAATGGTGAATCGATCATTTTTATGATTTTCTTCGGTATCATTATTTCTCACATTCCATTACTTTTCCATTAACAACTAACGACCGTTCTCGCGGTTATAACCGAGATATACCGAGCTTTCCAAATCGTCGAACGGAACGTTTTACGTCAAAGACAAAGTCACGGAACACTTTTCAACTGTATTCATCATCCCCGTGATATGTTATGTTCGTGTTATTATTCTCTTCGTTTAGGTTAGTGTGTATATACGTAAGTATGTCGAAGTGTATGCGTAAACGAGAGAAAAAGAGAGAGAAGGAGAATGAAAATGAGAGAGAAATGGATAAAGGAAGAGTCAAAGTAGCTACGTACATATACCGAGCGGTTAGCGGCCGTTATCAAAGTGGCAGCGGCATACGATATTAACCAACAAGCGCGCCCTGTTAAAACTATTTATAACTTTTGGACTCGTGCCAACCGCGCTCACGTCGGTTTCGCGTTGCACTTGCCTTCGGAAGTCACGTTTCACCCTCGAGTTATCGTACCCACTGTAAATTATATAACAAAAACATGATGGTCATACTGCTAAAGCATAGCTTTATTATTAGAAAGAACACGACATACGCTACTCGCCAATTTGATACTGACCATTCTACTTATAGTGACAACAAAAAGTATCTAATCTATTTCTTTCTCTTCCTCTATTTCTCACTTTCTCATCCCTTACGTCAATTTAATTACGAGGAAAATAAACAAAATTTATACATGCAACAACAGTTTAGAGATTTACAGGAGATTAAAAGAAACCCTTGAACAATCAATCGCGATAAATTTTACACAATTTAAACTGCACAATACGAAAGCCAAATGAACATCGTTTGAATACTTTGCTTTGTAAATATTGAAAAAATTTGTAAACGTTAAAATGCATTCAAAAATAATGTGTATTAAAGTATCAATATTTTCTTTAATCTTTCACAACCTCGGAATTATCAATGTTCGTTCAAACAAAATTGTTTTCATTTTTTCCTAATGTAAATGGACTACCGGAAACATGAGTTCTCTGCACATTTATAAATCGTGCTATACGTGCATATCCATTTCCGCAAAGTGATATTGCAATTGTGAAGAAAACTAGGAAACGCCCTAGAAATTCCTCAAACTGTTGCCCACCAACAACGTTAGCCACTAACACCACCCAACAGTACTATTCGTAACAACATAATGCCACAGGAAGTATCATAACAACCCATTCTCGAGTTTCTAAGCTTGTTTCTAAATATAGTTTGGAATTAAGCGAAACGCCAAGCTGAGATTATGTGGTAAAAATAAAAGAAAAAAAAAAGCAAGTGAAAAGTATAGATTTCCGTACTTGGTTTTTATCAACTAAAATCTTAACATTCCTAAAAACCTTGGTACAAATTTTTTCCTTTCTTAGTCCACGCCTCTACATTGCTTAATGTGATACCGTTGCGGTAAGATTTCCGCGTCCCCAAACCCACCAGCATAGGAGAAATGGTCCTTCGTTTAAATAATGCTTCCATTGCTCCCTAAGCTCCCTCTCTCTCTCTCTCTCTCTCTCTCTCAATCTTTCCCCCTTTCTCTTCCTCTACCTCTTCTCATTCTGTCGCTACCCCACCTTTATTCGCTCCGATCGTTCTAATGGCGCTATTAGCACTTAACGAAAGGGTGATAGTAATCTCCTTTGACCCCTTCCAAAGACATCCTGTCTCTTAAAGATTATTATTATAATATTGTTCCCCATCATGTTATATATATGTATATATATTTTTATATATACATAATATACATAAGAATGTATATCCAGTGTGGAATGTTAAGCTCCTTTTATTCGGAATTAGCTAAATGAACAGTACTATTCGATCAAATAACACAGAAATATATATATAGAGAGAGAGAGATCTTCTATCTATCGAACAATGTTCTCTCATGATAGTATGTCCACGATATAGGATCCAGTTTGATTTAACAAAAGAGAAGGCTAAGACTATAGTAGTGATAGCTTGCTCGATACGAATTTGCTCAATTTCGCTAACCGGATCTAACACCTCGTGCGCCTGCGAATAGGAAAATTCAATTTGCGATAATTATACTGAAGACAATCAACGAAGTGCACAGTGTAATGTCGCAGAAATTAGCTTAAGCGTTGAATCGCGGATATGAAGTCTTAAATTACCACGATAATAATCGGTTAATTAATGAAATCGCAAGATCGCCTGGTCCATTGCCGGATAATAGCGATTTAGACGAAATATGATTTCGAAAATGGTAGTACAGTACTTGAACGTTTATTCCCAAAAGATAATCTTTTCTTCGAATATAAAAAAAAAAAAAAAAATTTCCTTAAAATTAACAAACTGTTATATGATATGACAAGTCTTATCTTATATAAACGTCTTATTTTATCCAAAAGTTGGGAACCATTAAGCCGTTCCTAATCTTTCCTGCTAACTATCGGACTTGAAGTCAGAAACAGAAACAGAGAAACGGTTTTGATTTGACGTCTGATGCTAGAATTTCTTGAGAGTTTCCGGATTAAGTGTCGCGACTAAGGCTGGAGAACGTCAAACGCAGCAGCATTTCCGTGTTAAACTAATACAAGAGTGTATCTATATCATAGCTTTTCTTACGTATTATACTCACTATACTCT